TTGAATGCCTGGAATAAATCCCACTTGGACATGGTGAATAATTATTTTAGACATTGCTGGATTCAGCTTGCTGATATTTTGTTGAGGGTTTTAGCGCCTAAGTTTGTGAGTGATATTGGTCTGCAGAGATTTTGGGTTTTGTTGTTGTTGTTGTTGTTGATTTATTTAGCTTTTATTTTCTTTGGTTTAAGCATCATATTAAATACCAGCTTCACAGAATGAAGTAGGAAGTGTTCCCTTCTCTTCTATTTTCTGGAAGAAGCTATATATAATCAGGTGTTAATTTTTTAAAAAAAATTTATTTATTTATGAGAGAGAGAACACAAGCAGTGGGGAGGGGCAGAGGGATGGGGAGAAGCAGGCTCCCCACTGAGCAGGAAGCCTGATGGGGGGCTCGATCCCAGAACCCTTGAGATCATGACCTGAGCCAAAGGCAGCTGTTTAACCAACTGAGCCCCCCAGGCCCCCCAGGTGTTAATTCTTTAAATGTGTGGTAAAATATTCCAGGGAAACCATCCAGGCCTGGAGCTTTATTTTTCAGAAACTTATAAATTACAAATTCAATTTCTTTAATGATTGTAGGACTATTCAGATTACTTATTTTACCTTAGTTGGGGTTTGGTAGTTTGTGGTTTTCAAGAAATTGGTCCATTTCTCCTAAATTGTTGGATTTTTTAGCATAAAGTTGTTTTTCATATTCCTTTATTATCCTTTTGATGCCTCTGGGATCTGTATTAATATCTTCTATTCCATCTCTGATATTGATGATTCGTGTGCTCTTTTTGTTGTTGTTGGTTTATGAATTTTATTGATTTTTTAAAGAATCTGCTTTTGTTTCATTGATTTTCTCTATTGTTTTCCTAGTTTTGATTTTATTGATTATTTCGGCTCTTATCTTTATTATTTTCTTCCTTGTCCTTGCTTTCCATACCTCTGGAGAGAGGGCAGCGGTGTAACCAAATCTATTACATGCTTAAAAAACTCTGTATTACGTGATATCCTCACTAGAGGAAGAGTGAAACATAAGAAGAGACATCTTCGGGGAAGAAGTCGGGTCAGCACCTCTGTTCCAGGTGCAGAGGAGGGGAAAGAGGCAAAGATAAAGCACAAAGGATGAGCAGGAAGAGGAGCTGAGCCTCCTCGGTCATCAGAGAGTGCGAATCAGACCCCAGGGAGACAACACCTCACACCCACCAGGACAGCTGGAACCAATAACACACAGATAATAGGAAGTACTGAATCGGAACCCCACAGCTAGTTGTGAGACTGTAAAGTCGTGTCGCTCTTTTGTTCCTCAAAAAATTAAATACAGTTGCCATTGATTTGTACATTTTAAAATGGCTGAGATGGTAAATCCTATGTTATTGTATTCTACCACAAGAAAAAAAAGTTAAATACAGAATTACTCTATGTACCAGCGATTCTGTTAGGTATCTACCCATTAGAAATGAATCCACATATTCATGCGAATACTTGTATGTGAGTGTTCACAGCAGGATTAATGCCCATCAACTGTGAACGGATAAACAAATGGAAGATTATTTGCTTGTTTAAATCAAAATATACAGAATATATGATTCCAGATCATGGAATACCATTCAGCCATAAAAAGGAATAAAGTACTGATATTTGCAACCACAAGGATGAAACTTAAAAATATTACGTTCATTGAAAGAAGCCAGATACAGGAAGCCACATATTGTACGATTCCATTAATGTGAAAGATCCAGAACAGACGGATGTAGAGTGATAGAGGAGACTAGCTATTTCCAGGGGGTAAGGAAAAACGGAGAGTGACAGAATGTGAGTGGGGAGTGGGGCTTCTCTTTGGAGGGATGGAAATGTTCTGGAAATAGGCAGCGGCAATGGTTGCAAAACCTTGTGATGTATTAAAGACTGCTGAATTGTATACTTTATGGTGAATTTTATGGTATGTAAATGATATCTCGATTTTAAACAGAATCGATGGAGCCCACCAAGGAGAAGGGCATCTCCCTGGAGCAGTGGGCAAGGAGAGAGTATGGGACTTGGAGGTGCCCAGGGTCAGTGACTGACCCCTGCAGAGCCTTTGAACGGGGGGTTGCAGGTGGGCAGTGCCTGAGCATGCTCGTGCTGAAGCTGTGGACCTCAGCACTGACTGCACCCCGAAGAAAGGTAGTCATTGTCTTAGATGGGAGGAGTTCCAGAAGAAAAGCCTAAGTGGGTAAAGTGAAAGCTTATTCAAAAAAGCAAGAATGAGCCAGCAGTGAGAAAGAACAAGGAGTAAGTGTAGACTTTCTTTTGTACCTAAACAGTAACTAAGGGCTCCAATGAGGTTGAAAATAGGATTTCCCTGAAGGCAACCCTAGACAGTTGTTGTTGTTTTCAGTGGGGGCAGGGGGAGATGAAGTCAACAAGGGGAAATGAACAATGCTAGAGTAAAAATGGAAAATAAAGGGAATCCACATGAGGACTGCCGTGTAAAGTTGTACTACAACTTAAAAAAAAAAAAGTTGCACTACACAATTCTAGGAGGTGCCATTCACACTAATGTGTAAATGTGTTGCATTACCTAGAGATGTACAATGCACAGTCCTGATTTCTTGATTTTGGCAATAGAGGATGCTTCCTCTTTTGAGACAGGAAACTTTGTAGATTGGGAGGAGGACCTACAACGACACACTGAGGCAAAGTGGGAGGAAGTTCAGGGGCTCATGTCTGAGGCCCCCTTCTTTGTCATTCATGTAAAAGATGAGGTTCTCTTTCGAGATTAAGAGAGAAAAGTAGACATTTGTGGCAAGTCTAAAAACATTTGGAGCAGCTGATGAGTAGAGACTAGTAAGGGTCCCTCTCAGGTCAGATGACCCAAATTTATGGTGGACTCACTCACTCACCACTTCACGGCTTCCTGTAGCACCATGGGGCTGGGCAATAGGAAAGGAGAGGATGGGATCACCCGGGGCTGGAAACATGCAACCAAGGAGGGGAGAAGTAAAGGGAACAGCAAGTCCTACATGGGCAGCTGATGGAGATCGATGGGGAGGCAGGGGTCCATCATGCCCTCGTTTACCTAGTGGTCATCCAACAGGCCACAACTGCATGCCTAGGCATGCAGGAGCCACGGAAGGGGAGTCTGGGCTGGATCCCAGGTGGGACTCACAGAAAGGGAACCCACAAAGAGGAGGAAGGCTGGGTGGGCAGGGGGTATGAGGGGGCCTTGAGATCACAGTTGGGAGTTGAGGAGCAGCTGGCAGGAGAGGAACCCAGGCCACAGCTCTGTGAGGTCCCAGTGTAAGACGGGCCCCATCTGGCAGGTTGGCCCGTGTCGGGGGAGGGACAGCGCTTAAGACAAGGAGGGGATAGAGAGAGAAGTCTCCCACTCAGGGCAGGATGGAGGCTGCTGGGAGAAGGCAATAAGCCTGACTGTGGCAGACTGTCCTGCCATCCACACGCTGATCCCCTTGCCTGGCGTAATGCTCTGCTCTGCTGTGGAGTTTGTTGCTTTCACCACGCATGCCGCCATAACCCTAATACCCACAACCACTCTTTAAAGCCCAGCTCAGTGTACGGCAGTATCCTCCTTCCTCTGTCACCTTGACAACAATACTTCTTCCTGATTTTTAAAAAAAATTCAACTAAGTCTTGTGGTGGGGTCGGGGGTCTGGAGAGGCGATGCTTCCTGGCTGACAGGACTGTTTGGCCCCCATGCTAGGCCCTCATTCATTCGCGGACGCACGCGGAGACTCCACGGCCCATGAGCACCATGGGGGCAGGGGCCGGGTGGCCATGCATCCGTGAGCTGACATTCCAGCGGGACAGGCAGGATGGAGACCATGGAGAGACATGCCGCAGCAGGGAGGGCAGGTCCTCGACGGAAGCCGAGGCATCCCGCACTGAGCTGAGGGTGAATCACGGGGACACTTGGGGAAAAAGCTTCCCGAGCCAGGGGAAGGAAAGGCTTGAGTAAGGCGTGCACCTGGGGTCCAGTGGCTCAGTGGGGCCGAGGTAGAGAGGGGCTAGTGCCCATGCTGGATGAGGGGACACGGCCCTGCCCTCACAGGGCTCACACGCCTTCAGAAAGACAGTGAGGAGGACAGAGAGGGATGTGTGGTGGCCCAAGAACACAGAGGCCAGCCGTCGCAGAGCAGTGCCTTGAGGGTGACTCCTAAAGTGAGTGAACGTCCAGATAAGGTGGGATGGGTGGGGAGGCCACCAGGAGGGGCAGCCTGGAGGAGAGGCCTGCAGGGGGACGGATGGAGGGGATGGACAGCAGGCGCCGTGCCTCTTCTTCCTCCTGGCAGAATCCTGACTTAGTTCCAGGCAGTAGCATACCTGGCCCTGGTGGCTATTGTGACTAGAGAGTGGCCATTACCAGCCTCCCTTGCAGCCTCATAACGCTGCTCCAGCAGAGCCCTGGGCAGAACTCCCACCCCCGGCAAGGGCGGTCTCGGTGGGGAGCCCACTCCTTCCCTCTTTGGCCTGCTCTGTTCAAGAGGCAGCAGGGGTTCCAGAGCCAGGATAAGGAAAAGTCACCTGCTAAGAACACTGAGGACGCACAAGGACAGGTGTTGGAGGACACTGCCAAACTGCCCCACAAAACCCAAGGCTGTCTGCCTCCAGAATTCTCTGTGAGTGCAGGTCACTGTCAGGCAGGGACTGTCCCTCCCAGCCTGATGTGCTCCTGGCCCTGACGGGGTGGGAGTGTGGGGAGGACACGCCCAGGCCCACCCCTACAGCTCGCACACCCTCGTGGAGGAGCACACGTTCCCACCTCGGACTCTTCCAATATCTCTATTACGTTCTCTAGCAATCGGCTGCATTTTTGGTGAAGAGCCATCGGTTTTTTCATAATTAGGGAAATCTTGGCATTCTAGTTACCTACTCCTCTTTTCAAAAGGATTAACTACTAGAGAAAAATATCATTTCCTTCTTGTGAAAATAGCCTTGGAAAAACTTCAGGCTTTTAAAATCATGTCAGCATTCCTGCAGATCTGATAATATTGTGAGCTCATGTATCTTACCACTGTGAAGTCAGGGTGGAAAATACATCATCTCTTTCAGATTCCCGGAATAACTTCAAAAGTTCCGGATCCCCAGATAAGTGTGTAAGAATGCGCAATTCAATCTGTGAAAAGTCTGGGGGACAGAACCCACATTAATTCTGAATCTACCAACAGCGTCCCTCGTCATTGCTACCCACGCCACAGCCCGCCCTCAGCCTTCTGTCCCCACTGCAGCATCAAGGGCAACATCCCCCCTGCCCCCCGCCAGGGTCCTCTGGCCTTAGGGCCACTGGCCATCCCTGGGTCTGCAAGTCTAAGGGACTGGTCCTGCCTTCTGTGAGGCCCGCAACACCTCTGGGGAAGGCCATAGGCACTCCTCTGTTCATCCTGTCCATCACAAGTTTAGAGGGGCCTGCAGGTGCCTGGCAGTGTGACTGGGATTTGACAGTGAACAAAACAGATAGGCCTTTCTTCATGGAGCCCATGTTCTAGGAGCAGGAGACAATGTGCATGAGTTATCTGGTCTGTCAGAGGATGAGAAGTGAAGTGGAAAAGACAGATAAAGAAAGGAGGCTCAGGAGGGAGAGGGTGGTCAGGAACACCTCCTCAAGAAAGTGACACTGGAGCAAAGGCACAGAAGAGGCAAAGGAGGAAGCAAGATGGTGTCCAGTGAAGGGGTTCCAGGAGGGCATGATTTGGGACTGGTTCAGGCTGGAGGCCAGCCCGTCTGCAGGGAGCGAGCAGGGCAGAGCAGCGAGCATGATGAGGGTGAAGAGGAGAAAGGAGGGGCAGACTGGGTGGGACCATGAGGGGGCACCTGGGGTTTAGAGAAGGTGAGGGACCATCGAAGCAGATCTGTTCTTATTTACTGTGCACAAGAAATCTTTCCTTCAGATAAATATTTGCTTTAGGATTTGCTCTATAGGAGGAATTCTGTAAGCACCTTTGAATTATCTACCATTCCAAGTATTTGAAACATGAAACGTGTAAAGTGAGCCACTGTGACACAGGGCATCTGTCTGGCATAGTTTGCACGTACCTGCTGCCAGGAAGGTGTGGCCATCGGGGGCAATGAACATGCTTCTCGGGGAGATGGTGAGCACCGTGCCCTCCAGACCTGAAACATTATTTTAAGAGTCCTTGGTGAATTTGGTCATAAGCTGATTTATAGCCATTGCTCACACGGAGTTTATTTTAATATCATTCCAAAGTCAAGAGTACAGATTTCTGACTTTTCTGAATATTTTTATTAATATAATTTAAAAGCAAATGGTACCGCTGAGAGTAAAGTAGGCTCTCTGTTGTTAAAATTTCACATTCTGTCTAGAATTCTTGGTGAGGAAACAAACACGGACCTTTGAACATACTCCAGTAAGAATGTTCTGGAGGCCCCCGGAGCCTCACCGCCTAGAAGGGTTTGGGGAAGCTGTGGGGTCCTATGATGCATAGCACATGTTTTGAAGGGCAGTAGGAGACAAAGGTGCTCATGGTCACCTCCACGGGTCCTGCTTATGGGCGACTATATTTGAAAAGAACCCCGGTCATGCTTCACTATTTTGTGGTGACCAAAGCAGAGAGGCAGGAGCACCCCACCAAGGGTGCAGGAGTTGGGGGATGGGCCACAGAACCTAGTTTGCTTAGATGTGACCTTTTTCTTTTTTAGAAATCTAACTGTCAGCATTTCAGTGGAAGAGCTCAGAAGAAAGAACAGTGTTAGTATGCTTTTATAAACATTTCCAGTAGGTTTCAGACTTTAATAAAAGCCAGTTCTATTGTATGTTTGTTTGTTTGTTTCTCTATTGGGAAGTTGGTGGGGGAGAAATGGTGGGAAGGGAGCTACTTTCCTTGTATAATTATCATCTATTTTAACTTGTAAACTGCCGAAAAGGAGGTGCCTTATCAGTTTAGCTGTGTTTTATTTTTCAATGTGTATTTAAATCTTGGTCATGCAAATACAGAGAACTTGAGGAAGACAAAGAAGTTAGTTATCCAGAAAAGCAATTATAAAAACTTGCGGTTTTTTAGGAAATGTTACCCAAGACTTCAACAAGGTAGAGAGAAATGTGTTACCTTTAAAATCCTGTGGTTTAGTAATTTGAATTGGGTGCCTGGAGATACCTTGGATATTCTGTTAATAATAAGAGGAGAATAGCTTTAGTTGAAATATTTACTCGTAAATTAATCTGTACCATTTGATTGGTATTATCATTACTTTTTAATTTTTTTTTTAAAGTAAACTCTGTTCCCAACATGGTTCTTGTACTCATGGCCACAAGATCAAGAGTCACATGTTCTACCAACTGAGTCAGCCAGGTGCACCCAAATCTGTACCATTTAAGGGCATTTAAAACATGTCACTTTGGGGCACCTGGGTGGCTCAGTTGCTAAGCATCTGCCTTTGGCTCAGGTGCCTTCGGCTCAGGTCATGATCCCGGGGTCCTGGGATTGAGCCCCGCATAGGGCTCCCTGCTCAGCAGGAAGCCTGCTTCTCTCTCTCCCACTCCCCCTGCCTGTGTTCCCTCTCTTGCTGTGTCTCTGTCAAACAAATAAATAAAATCTTAAAAAAAAAAACCCAACCAAACAAAAAAATGTGTCAAGTTTTATTAAACCTTAACAAAATAGCTAAGCCAGTATATCATGCATAAGCACATTACTACACAATACAAGTGTCTGATACTGAAACATAATTTTGGCGATTATACCACTAAGTATAATCAGCAACTGTGAGACAATTCTTTTTGACTCCAGCCTGTTTGGCCCTTATCATAATTGTACACAGCATGCTAAACTACAACTTAAAAATTTCTATATAACATGCTAAACATAGATTTCTGCGAAATTTATATACTGTAGTTTCCCCTTAAAAACATATTTTAAAATGAAACTTCTGGTCTCTACACCCTGACTACTGCTCTCCCCTAGTGCTCTTGGCACTCAGTACTGGGCTCAGTCTTGGTATGTGCAACAGCCCTGTGGCTGGTGGCCAGTGTGTCCACATCCCCTGAAAAACCATGTGACAGCTCACTAAGCACCTTCACACCCTTACAACTTGGACTGAACAGCCACTAGCTTCCCTCCTGTTACAGCCATTCGAATCAGGAAAACTTCTGCGGCAACATCTTTTATGCTTGGCGGTACCTTCTACAAAGACACCCTGTTCTACCTGGGAATGTTCTACTTGGGCATCGGTTGGGCTCAATTCCCTGACTGGATCTGGTGAGGCTGCCGGATGTCTCAGATCCCGTGCTTTGGGCCCAGCAACAGCACGTGGTAAGGCAGGCGCTGTCACCCCATTTTTAAAGGTGAGGACACCGAGGCCCAAGGTATGAAGCTAGTGGCTCTCAAGTTTTCTCTGCAACAGAATCATGTGCTGTCTTAAAACAACACCAAATAGTCACATGATAAACTCAATAACAGGTCAGAGATGACAGAAAATGAGAGCCAGTGAACTTGAAGACAGCAGAAACTATCCAGTAAAGAGGAGAGAAGAAAAATTTTGGGGAAACATGAACAGAGGCTCAGTGACCTGCAGGATAATACTAGAACTACAATACGATTATTATTTCAGTCCCTGAAAGAGAAAAAAGAGACCAGTGTTGAAAAAATAAAGAAATAATGGCTAAAATTTCCCCAGATTTAGTGAAAGACATATTTTTCAGATTCAAGAACCTGAACAACCTTAAATAAGATGAATTAAAAGAAAATCAGGCCCAGAAATACCACAACTGCTGGAAACCAAAGCTAGAGAACAATCTTGAAAGCAGCACGAGCAAAATGACCCAGGACACTAGAGGAGCAGCCCCGAGGGCGGCTGCCAACTTTGCGTCAGGAGCCACGCGCTCAGACCACAGTGGGGCTGACCGAGGGCACTGCTGCAAACTGCGTCCTCCGGGAATGAAGGTGAACTGAAGCTGTTCTCGGATGAATAAACATGGAGAGAACATGTCCTCAGGGGGCCTGCTCTAAAAGGAGCACTAACAGAAGTTGCTCAGGCTGAAGGGAAAGGTCCCAAGGAAGCCTGCAACATAACAAATGGAGGATGAGCGACAGACAGGCTCAGTTCCCGAAGAAGCATAAGGACTATTCTTTTCAAGCTGTTTTCGAATATTTACTACTGTTAAAAGCAAACACGGTAATACTTCCTGGGGTGTTTACAGTGTGTGCAGATGTAATGCATGGCAGTGAGGACAAGCTGGTGTTCGTAAGGCTTCCACAACTTACTGGGAGTGGTAAAACATCAAATCCAAAACTACACTGAACATGGATATGTCTACTATGACCCCTGCAGCCATCACTAAAAAGCATATCATGAGGGGCCCCTGAGGCCCCTGGGTGATTCAGTCAGTTAGGAGGTGAACTCTTAGTTTCGGCTTGGGGCACGATCTCAGAGTTGTGGGATCAAACCCCACATTGGCTCTGTGATTAGCGGCGAGTCTGCTTGAAATTCTCCCTCTCCCTCTGCCCCTCCCCCTCCTCATGCTCTCTTTCTCTCTAAATAAATAAATCTTTAAAAAATATTATATGGTGTAGGGTGCCTGGGTGGCTCAGTGGGTTAAAGCCTCTGCTTCGGCTCAGGTAATGATCTCAGGGTCCTGGGATTGAGTTCCATGTCGGCTCTCTGCTCAGTGGGGAGCCTGCTTCCCCCACTCTCTCTGCCTGGCTCTCTGCCTACTTGTGACCTCTGTCTGTCAAATAAATAAATGAAATCTTTTAAAAAAAATATTATACAGCGAAAGGTAGCAAAAGGCCCAATACACAAATTGAAATGGAATTCTAAAAATTATTCAATAATTCAGAGAAAGGCAGGAGAGAGGGAACAGAAGAACAAAAACAGAAAGGACTAATAGAAAACCAAAATGGCAACCCAAATCCAACACTATCAATAATCACATTATGCTTAAATACTTTAAACACACCAATCAAAAACAGAGTTTGAGTGCATGAATGTAAGACCCAACTACTTATCTACGAGAAATCCACTTTAGTAAGGTTTAGATGGATTACAAGTAAATAGGTGAAAGAGGAGATGCCATGCAAATACCGATAAGGAGAAATCTGGAACAGCTATATTAACATAAGACAAAGCAGCATTCAGAAGGGAATTACCATGCATTCAGAGGATATCACAGAATGATAAAAAGGTGAATTTACAAGGAAATATCAATTCTAAATGTGCACACATCTAATGACAGAATTTAAAAGTACACAAAGCAAGAACTGACAGACCTGCAGTGAGAAACAGACCCACAGTTACACTTAGAGTTGTAAACACACTCCTCTCTCAGTAATATGTAGTAATGAGAGATAAAATGAGCAAGGATACAGAAGACCTGAATACTACCTACCAGCTTGACCTAATTGACATTTATAGAACACTAGATCCAGAGACAGCAAAACACACATCCCTTTCAAGGGCACATGAAACACTGTTCAAGATAGATGATACCATAGGTTGCAAAACAAGCAATTTTAGAAAAATTAAAATCACTCAAAGTATGTTCTCTGACCATAATGAAGGTAAACCAAGAATCAGTAACAGAAAGCTATCTGGAAAATTCACAAACAGCTGGACATTAAACAACATACTTCTTAATTAGCTGGGAGTCAAAGTAGAGGTCTCAAGAGGACTTAGAAAATATGTTGAACAGAATGCAAAAGAAAACACATAGTATCAAAATCCATGAGATGTAGCTAAAGCAGTACTTACAGGGAAAGTTATAGCATTAAATGTTTATACTGGAGAAAAAGGTCTCAAATCAATAATTTAAGTGTCTACCTTGAGGAACTAGAAAAAGAAAAAGTTAAGTCTAATACAAGTAATGGAAAAATAACAAAGATCTGAAATTAATGAAATTTAAAACAGAAAAGCAATAACTGCTGACCCTTGGACAACACGGGTTTGAACTACACACATCTACTTATACAGGGAATGTTTTTGAAAAATATGGACAGGGCGCCTGGGTGGCTCAGTGGGTTAAGCCTCTGCCTTCGGCTCAGGTCATGATCTCAGGGTCCTGGGATTGAGCCCTGCATCAGGCTCTCTGCTCAGTGGGGAGCCTGCTTCCCTCTCTCTCTGCCTGCCTCTCAGCCTGCTTGTGATCTCTCTTTCTCTGTCATATAAATAAAAATAAAATCTTAAAAAAAAAAGAAAAATACGGACAGTACTACACATGTATTTTCTTTTCCTTATGATTTTCTTAATAACATTTCCTTTTTTCTAGCTTACTATTATAAATTAGAATTATTTTAAGAATACAGCATATAATGCATAATACATACAAAATACCCATTAGTCAACTATTTATGTTATCAGTAAGGATTCTGGTCAACAGTAATCTATCAGTAGTTAAGTTTTTAGGGGCCCAAAAGTCATATGTGAATTTTCTACTGTGCAGGGGGTCAGTGCCCTAACCTTTGTGTTGTTCAAGGGTCAACTGTACAGAAGAATCAGTGAAGCCCAAATTTGGTTCTTAAAGAAGACCAATAAGATTGATAAACCTCTATGTAAACTATTCAAGGAAAAAAAGGCAAAAATGATCAATTTCAAGAAATGAAAGGCAGATATCACCACAGATCACACAGACACTAGGCACAATAAAGAAAGTCTATGAGCGGGACGCCTGGGTGGCTCAGTTGGTTAAGCAGCTGCCTTTGGCTTGGGTCATGATCCCAGCATCCTGGGATCGAGTCCCACATCCGGCTCCTTGCTCATCAGGGAGCCTGCTTCTCCCTCTGCCTCTGCCTGCCATTCTGTCTGCCTGTGCTTGCTCTCTCTCCCTCTCTCTCTCTGACAAATAAATAAATAAAATCTTAAAAAAAAAAAAAGAAAAGAAAGTCTATGAGCATAATATGCCTATAAATTCAACAAGATGAAGGGGGCCAGTTCCTTAAAAGACACAAACTACCAAAATTCACTCAAGAAAAGAACAGAAAATCTGGATAACCTACGTCTACTACAGAAATTGACTCTGTAGTTAAGGACCTTTCCACAAATAAAATTCCAAGTCCAGATAGTTTCAATGGTGAATTCTACCAAATACATAAGGAATAAATAATATCAATTCTATATGATCTTTACTAGAAAACAAAAGAGAAAGGAATATTTTCTCACTCATTTTATGAGGCAAG